CGGGTCCACTATCTGCAGTGGCTCGTCTCGAAAACGTGTAGCCTCCGTAAACTCCAACTTCTGGGGCTGTAGCACGTGAGAAGGATCCGCTACGTATTTTCGCAGCATCGACACGTGAAACTCGTCATGGATATTGCCCAGCTCCGGCGGTAATCCAAGACGGTATGCAACAACTCCCACTCTCGCAATCACGGGATAAGGTCCGATGTAGCGCGGCTTCAGCTTCCCGCTTTGCCCGAACCTCACATGACCTCGCATCGCCTGTACTCGGAGAAAGACATACTCTCTGACCTCAAGCTCGAAGTCTCGGCGTCGCTGATCGGCGTATGACTTCTGCCGGTCCTGCGCCGTCTTCAGATGGGCGCGAATCCTCCGTATCACCTCCGTGGTCTCCTCAACAATCTCCGGCCCAAACTCGCGACGCTCCCCGATCTCTGTCCAGCACAACGGTGTCTTGCACGGTCTCCCGTACAAGGCCTCCGGCCCAAACTCGCGACGCTCCCCGATCTCTGTCCAGCACAACGGTGTCTTGCACGGTCTCCCGTACAAGGCCTCATATGGAGACACTCCGATGTTCGTGTGATGACTGTTGTTGTACGCGAACTCGCACCACGTCAAGTACCGATCCCACAAAGCTCCTCACTCCATAATACAAGCTCTGAGCATGTCCTCCAGAGTCTGTATCGTCCGCTCCGACTGACCGTCTGTCTGGGGATGGTATGCCGTGCTAATCTTGAGCTTCGTCCCCAGTGCCTCCTGTATCGCCTTCCACAGGCGTGATGTGAATCGAGCGTCTCTGTCTGAGATGATCTCGTTCGGAACTCCATGTAGATGCACGATCTTATCGACGTAAATCTGCGCCAACCGCTCAATCGGATACTCCTGTCGGATGGGGATGGAATGAGCGGATTTGGTTAGTCGGTCCACGACTACCCAAATGGCGTTCTTCTTGCTTGGTGTGAGCGGTAATCCGACCACGAAGTCCATGGCGATCGAATCCCACTTCCACTCGGGTATCTCCAGCGGTTGTAGCTTTCCTCCCGAAATCTGTCGCTCTGCCTTCACCTGCTGACACGTGAGGCATCTATTGGTTTAGTGCTCTATGATGTACTGTTTTTGCGAGCTTTATTTAGACACATTTGATGTATTGACACTTTCTATGGTTTATGGATGAGTGTTTTATTCATTATATGTTTTGCATACTTGATATGTTATGATATCCATGTATTGTTATGAACAATACTAAACTCCCTAGTCGTATGTCATTGTGGGAATAATGATGTAATAAGACTAGTATGATGTGTGATTGATGATCATAGAGATGATCATAGGTATTCGATATGATCACAATCATAGGTATTCGTTGGAGAACGGAATACTGGATTGACCCGCATGAGATTGTCACATGGACTTGCGTCATGACTTGAATCTCATATGACGGTTCCATGATTGGATCCTAAGACCTGAGATATCTACGGAATCCAACATGAGGAGTTGCGTACTTTGAATACGTCAAACGTCCTGCGTAACAGTGTTGGTTTAGTGCTCTATGATGTACTGTTTATGAGCTTTGTTCAGATACATTTGATGTATTGATACTTTCTATGGTATTTTATGAGAGTATTTGATTCATTCCATATTCTTGATTACTAGATCTGTTATGAAATCCATGTATCATTATGAATGATACTAAACTCCCTACTCTCTTGTCGTTATGGGAATAACGACATAATAAGACTAGTATGATGTGTGATTGATGATCATAGAGTTGATCATAGGTATTGGATACGGTCACGATCATAGGTATTCGTTGGAGAACGGAATACTGGATTGACCCGCATGAGATTGTCACATGGACTAGCGTCATGACTTGAATCTCATATGGCGGTTCCATGATTGGATCCTAAGACCTGAGATATCTACAGAATCCAACATGAGGAGTTATGTGCTTTGAATACGTCAAACGTCCTGCGTAACAGGAGGACTATAAAGGCGTGTATCAGGTACGAAACGAATCATGTGCTGGATTGTAGATAGTCAAGACGGGATTTGTACCTCTCGTAAAAGAGAGAGATATCGCTAGGCCCCTCGTGTGAGCGAGACTGTAGGAAGGACGAAACGCACGAGAAAACGACCGAAAAACTAAGACGGAAGGGTCTGAACGGACGGACCAGAAGTCCAGAACAGACGGTCCACCGAGCCAGACCCGACGGTCCAGAACGGACTGTCCGTTCCAGAAGGTCTGGAACGGACGGTCCACTAATGCCAGACCGTCCGTTCTATGTGCTGGAACGGACGGTCCACGTGCATTTCTAGACCGTCCGTTCCAAGCTTCGGGTTTTTCGAAATTAGACCGAATTAGGGTTAAATCACCTTATAAGAAGGAGATTAAAACACTAATTAAGAGAGAGCTTTTGCTGGCCGACTTTAGAACTCTTTTGACAGACTTTTGGTGAGATCCAAGAGGTTCAAGAGTGTGATCGAAGTCTCGGTTTCTCGAAGCACAAAACCGAATAGTTGATTCGGGTCCTAGCAGACAAAATCCAACCGTTGGAATCCATCCCGAGGTGTGGATACGTGTAGAGGGCGAGGTAATCTTCCTCCCTTTCGTGATCAAACAGATTCTTCAATTGAGACAGCCCCAGATCGATTGAGGTAAACGTTCTAACATTTCTACGATTCATAGAAGCATGGTTCTAGGGTTTCATTAAATTTTTGTTTTACATCCGCTGCGCAAACCCTAGAATCGATCTCTTAGGAATAGGATTCTCTCATGAGATCCCAGGAATTCCATCAGTGGTATCAGAGCCTGGTTGCTCTGTTTTGAATTCGTAGAACCCGATCACGCACGTTTTAGGATTTGAATTGTTTGAATCCATGTTTGCTTTGATTTCTATGCATGTTTGATGATTGAATCTAGTGTAGATTGCATGTTTCATGTTGCATAGAGTGCAGGAGTTCGAATTTTAGGTGTACAGATGAATTCAGATCAGTTTCGGGTCTGATCGGGGCCAAGAACGTCGGAGAACGTGATCTGATCACGTAGTCCTACCCTAGACCGTCCGTTCTGGGTAAGCCAGACTGGACGGTCTAGGGGTGGCAGACTGAGGTGAGACCGAAGGGTCTGGAACGTCCGTTCTGTGGCTGAGAACGGACCGTTCGTTCTGCTGTCATGGACCGTCCGTTCCGGTCACCTCAGACCGTCCGTTCTGCCAAGCCTGGAACATCCGCTCTGGATACGGTCCGAGGTCCAGACTCCGAAATTTTTTGTTTTCGAGGTCCGATTACGCAATTGTTGCCTATTTTGATCAACTGTAACTCAAATAGACATGATTCATTCTTATAGATGGTCCATAGCGAATGAATGCATGTAACTTAATCAAGATATAGGATATGCTTGATTGAGTGGGAGCTCTGGGATTGGAATTACATAATCGAATGGATGGTCTATTCGGATTATGAATAATCGTTGCACAGAAACCGGTTAGATCTAGAAGCTCTATGATAAAGCACTTGTCAAGGCCTCGATCGTACGTGTCATGGGTCATGCCAAGGCTGGGTGTGCCGTATTATCTTGGTGAGATATGATGGAGAAATGGTGGTTCTCATAGCTTGAAAGTAGATGCTTGATCTAGTGTGGTTTCGAAAATCCCTTGTTCATGTAATGCTAAGTGTGTGCCTCCCATTACTAGAGTGCCTGTCAAGGCATCGATCATCCGTAACACGGGTCATGCCAAAGCTGAGCGTGCCGGATTATCTTTGTGAGGCATGGTGGGAAATCGTGGTTCTCACAATTTGAATATGGTTAATCTTAGGTTAAGTTTTCAAGTTTAACTTGAGACTTAATGGTACAGATGAGACGAGTATGCAATGATATTTGATATCATAGTCTCTTAAAGGATCTAAGAGTCATATTGGATGTGATTGACATTAGATGCCTACCTAAATAGCATAAGGATAGATGTAACAATTTATTCTTGTGTGAAATATGGATCTTAGTCCCATATAAAAAATTATTGTAGGGTTAGTTTTCTTTATGGGAATATTGCTTGTGTTTGCATCTATGTTGTCATTGATTGATGATGGACTAGCTGGTAGTAGATCATTGATAGAATCTGCATTTTGTTTTGTTCGTTCTATTTTGTCTCTTTTGTAGGACATGGCGTCAACCGGTAGCGTACCGAGTTTGACGATGCGATCTATCCTTGAGAAGGATAAATTGACCGGGACGAACTTCTTAGACTGGTATCGGAACTTGAGAATTATTCTCAAGCACGATAAGAAGTCGTACGTCCTAGAAGGGGCTCTACCACCAGAGCCTGCGGCCAATACCACGAGAGCCGTCAAGGATGCTTGGCTGAAGCATCAGACTGATGACAATGAGATCTCATGTCTCATGTTGGGAAGCATGGCCCCGAATCTGCGAAGGCAGTTTGAAGGGAAGAGCGC